CTTAAAATTTTCCCCATACTAAACAATAGACGCAACAGTTAAGAATTTAAGAAAATTCGTTTTGCTACCAGGCAGCAAAAGAATGACAGCAATAATTTGAAAAATACTTCTCCGAAATACAAAAAAGTACATGCACAGGGCACTTTTTTTTCTTTTTGATTTAACAGGCTGACAGCAAATTTCAACCAATGTAGAATAATTGTTGCACTTGGAAATTCAACTGTTCAAAAGCTTAGCAGCCCATCTATGACTATATTTTTGAACCTGGCAGTTTTTCTGAAAAGAAAGCGCAGCTTGCAAAGAAAAGGGATGATAACATTCCAATCAACCATGAACGATGACATCTCATAACAAAGTATTTAAAAGCAGCACTAAGGTTATCGGGCAGTCAGTCAGCTTTTTGTTATTCCCAAAATGGTTCTTGATTTCTGAACATATGTTTAATTGACCTTTCCTTTGTCTCTATCTACCTGTTCAACTTCAGGCCAATGACAACAGGAGTGGGTCCATGACTAAAGTTTACTGGCTGACACAGTATTTAAATTTTCAGGGCTTGGATAAGTTAAAAATATACTACCAAACACAAAATAAAACTAATGAATATATGACCTTTTATCCCATGATTAAAAGAGTGAAACATTGCAAGTTCTGGATGTTTGTGCACACTTTGGCTATGTTTCACTATTTTGACACTATAAAGAACAAAATAAGGAGACTTTGTGCATGGAAGAAGAGTAAAAATAATGATTGTACAACATTAGCAGCTGTGCCCTAATAGCATGTAATTGTCCACATTTAAAATAACTTTTTTGTTTTTGAGTGACAAGGAAAAGCAACGACTGGATTGAGTTTTCTTGAATTGTCGTATCTGGAAAACAATTTCTAGCATTTTTGTGTTTTTAATTTTATATAGAACAGAGCAACTGAATACATGGGACAATGGAAACCAGGGTACACATCAGGAGTCCACGAGTTTTAATCCCATCTGAGGCATGAAGGCAGCCTAGGTGACCTTGGGCCAATCTTTCTCTCAGAGCCTAACTTACCTTATAGGGTTGCTGTTATGGAGAAAATAGGAGGACGAAGGGGGTATTGGATATTTTTTATGCCTGGAGTTGTTTATAAAAAAATAATATTAATGGGATATAAATTAAATACTGTAAATTGCCACTACTATACTATACATTACATTCAAAATCTGATTTTTAAAACATTACTTCAAAAATATGGACATTTTTGTCTTGTTCATAGATTGTGCATTCGTGTAACGATAAAATATATTTTTAAGAATTGTTAAAAAAATGATTCAAAATCAATTTTATCAGAGAACATATATCTACGCAGAAAGGATTTTTTTCTTTTTTAGGCCCTTTTTCTGTTATTTTCCATTATAATATAAATTCATCTCCATTGAAAAAAGGGTAGGATGGATATGTATGTAAGTGGAGAAAGTCACCAATTTTGACAAAAAGCCGGCAAGAACCACACTGAAAAAGCATGTAACAAGATCATGTCGATTCCCTTAGCTCATTCCAATTAAGTTATTTTTACAGATTTTCAGAAATCATAACTGAAAGGAATGAAAGGAAAATAGATTTATTATTTTATCCTTTTGTATAAAGCAGGGTTGGGTAACTGTGACAAATTTACAACCTGCGGACTTCAACTCCCAGAATTCCTGAGCCAGCCATGCTGACTCAGGAATTCTGGGAGTTGAAGTCCACAGGTAATAAAGCTGCCATAATTACCTACCCCTGATATAAAGTAATCTGTTTGACAAAAAATAGCTTGATTGGTCAAAGACAACATTTTATAATATTCATATTAAGAAACTTACTGGCAACATTAAGGGTACATTTGAGGTTTTCTATATGTATCATTCGTAATACTCAGCCTGGTAAGCCTTGCACCATAATAATCTATTATGTAGTTAGAACCGTCAGAAGGACCCACAATCTGGAAAAGAAAGTATTACATTGTTAAAAATTCTATTTTAAAATACACCACATACACACACACACACGTTTTCTGCAACCTTCCTCCATATCCATGATATTGCATTTATTATGGCTACAAAATAACTATAAAACTCATAACATGTCTGAAATTCTCCTCGATATAAGCAGATAAATAGCTTGTACTTGTCTGAGGGAAAAGGCATTTCTCCAAGAAGTTACAAGCTTGGAAAGACAAAGTAGGAGAGGGAATTTTGACAGAACTTTGGCTTTGCTGTGTACGCCTACAGTGAGCGGCTTTCACAAAACAGGAGAACCTGCAAAATATATCAACAATTGAAAACAAGAAGCATATTTAATTCTTACCTAATCTAATTCTAATAAAATTATTAGTTTGTTAAAGGAGAAGTTGCACCAATTCGCTTATGATTTTATGGAGTCACAGTGCCACAAAGTTTGGGGAGCTCTGAATTATATTAAGAAGGAATTGTAATTAACAAGTTGGTCTAGACTCTAGGACCAGAAACCCAGGTTCAGATTCATCATCAGTCATTAAAGCTCTGTGAATTTTTCTCTTTTGCTATAAAAATTACATGGAAATTAACTTCTGAGGGTATACATTTTTCATACTAAATGTGGGCAGATTTAATTCCAAGACATGTGTGTAGGAAAAAGAATAAAAATGTATACCACAAACATTTCATCAGGACAAAAACAAGAACTGATGCTCTTCAACTTGTGAAACTACTAGGAATACAACCCAAACTACTGGAGTTTAATTAACTTTTTAAAATCTTTTAACAGCTTTGACTAAGCGGAACCAATGCATTAGATTCTCACTTGTATGCAATGATAGAAACTAACTTTCTAATAAGCAGAAGCTTCGTGCTAGCAGATGTTTCTGCTACATTTATACAATGAAGGCTTGCATATATATGTACTTATTAAACATCCATTTAATAAAATATTCAAATATAAATGTATTTTTATTTTTTCCAATTCTTAAACATTCTTCTGAACACTACCTTTAATATACAAGCTTCTATGAAAATATCCATAATTACTGAAAAAATATCCTATATTTTGCAATATAGGAAAACTATATAATGATATGTGGGCAAGTTGATGTTTAGATGTCTAATTGTACAGAATTTGTGTAGGCTTTTTCTTATCTAAAAACAAACCTAAAAACAATAAAAAAGTAACATTCTTCTACACAAATCGCACAGTTCTTGTGACAAGCTGCTTTCAAAACTGATGGGAACATAAAAAGGCAATGTGGGAGTCAACTATTCAGATTAAAAAAAAAAAAAGCAATGTGCCAGAAATCTGTTGCTAGACGTCTAAGTGCTTCTTAGACCTAAAAAAAGGACCTTTATGCTGGATGTTTTGAACTTACCTGCATTGAAATCAAAATGAAGTCAATCAAACTACCAATTCCACAAAATCCCACTGTGCAGAACTTTAACAAACCTGTGAAAAAAGTTGTAATTATGCCAATCAGTGGATGTATTTTAGAGTATTGCAATTTCTAGAAAAAAATGTTTTTTCTCACTGTAATGGTTTATCCATGCCCCTAAACTTATAAATTACCATAGGTATAGGGAAATCCCAGGGTAGTTTTTTTTTTTTTACTATTTCTGTATTAGTAGCTTCCTCTTAATCCATACACAGAGAATCCTAAACAAAACTTTAAACCACTGAAGCTTCAATACCAAAAGGGACTGCGAGAAACAAGCTATCCAAAGCAACTTTTTAACAAGTTTGAAAGAATAATGGCGATTCTTTAAATCTAATAGCCATGCCAGCTCAATTTGTGGGACAGAGAAAGGAAAACAAGGAAAACTTTGTTTGGTGAGACACCAATGAAGCAAATTGTACAAAAAAATGTAGTTTATACATTTAGACAATCAACATAAAATAACTTGTCTCCAAAATGACAGGTGATCATTTCTTACTTCTACCTATTGGGGTTTATTTTAGGCTGGAGACTACTAGAGCTTGTGGTCAAATGATACTATTATACTATAATCTGTAATTACCCAAATAATTATAATATCAATCCACCTTGGCCTCTTCAGAACCAAGTATTAACAATCTGATTTATCCAACCTCCACAAAACTATTCTTTGCAATTATCAGGCATATGTTTCACTTACCCACTGCGAGCAATTATTACACAATCTATATTATGTAATTATGTATATTTTGTCTCTGGGCAAAAAAGGCAGTATTAGACATGTGAACATTTCTGCAACTAAGAATTGTATAGATGGTTTTTAAAATTAGATAAATAGCAGCTATGTGGGAATCTAAATAGTCTGGGATTCAGAAAGGGGGTAGTTTAGCAGAGCAAAACAGATTTAAATTAAAGTACTTCATTTTACAAACATCAAAACAAACAAAAAAAGGTAAAGAGCCCATAATTAGATGAAAACTTTATAAGCTTAATGTAAACACAGCTGACTTTGCTTCCAACTTCAAAATCTCTTAAAAGTTCTCAACAAGTAAGACATCAGCAGCAAACCATACTAAAAGTACAAAGCAGTTTGAAACACGAAACATGACTCAAGTTACTTGAGTATCACATCATAAGGCTGGCTTTCTGCTTATTTTTCAATCATTATGTTTAGTTTTAAGTCTAAAATAATGGAGCAGTGGCACCCATGAAGTTGTTCAGAAAAAAAAAGTCTTAACGTTTCTAACAGTGCTGCTTATTCTCCTGAGCAAAATCTGTACACAAAACTACATCATGGAAAAGGATAACCTGCTCAGAATTATATCTTAGCAATTTTTATTATGTGTGGGTCTGTCTTGGTTAAGCCTTCAGAAACTTCAACTTGTTCAAATCCTGTCATCCATTTATAGTGTGATCTTATTATACTAACAGAACTTCATAAGATGTTAATTTGTTTCTGGACACAATTCAATATACTCTTTTGACTTTTAAAACCCTTAGTTTGAGATGCAAGTACTTTAATGGAATATCTGAACCATATAAATCTGAAGAAATAATTATATATTTTCCTCCAGGTATCATCATATGAAGTTAAACAGGTGGCCTTTTCTCTGAACTCAGCCACCTATAAAAACTTTCTGCCAAGAAATGGCAGCCTCATGCTGTTTTTTATTCTATTTATAGGTAAGACAAATCCTGTCTTAGTTACTATTTATGATTTCCATGTACAAATTATTATTTTTCTTTTCAAATTATTGTTATTTCTATGGAATCATCAAGATACCAAAAATACAACTTTGTATATCACACTTTTCAGTAAATAAAGATGAAAAGCAATAAAAACCTTAGGTTAATTTTTTACCTTAAGACTTCTGCTATGTATTAGTATGCATACATATGATAAATAATTCTTTTTATAGTAATTATTGACATCCAAATAATAAAATACAGATACCAGAAAAGCACTAGTTTTTAAGAGTTATACTTCTGGATGAAAAAGTATTCATCCCAGTTTGGATTTTCTAGGTACTTGCTGATCTTGGCCACTGTCAGTAACATAATTTCATATAAGCCCCATTGATACAAAAAAAAAAAAAAGTCTGAGTGAATAAATAACAACAACTTTTGGTGCTTGTTTCATTTGATTTATAACTAAGCCATTGAATATTCCATGTCCCAGGAAGAAAAAAGTAACGGTCACTTTAGCCTCACAGAAAGTGGCTGCACCCCTTTTAGCGACAAAACTAACAGTCCTGCAAAAAGATTATTATTCTCTCATTTTGTTGCATAGGAATTCTGATCCATCCATCCATCCATCCATCGAAAGAAAACAGTTTCAACTTAATGCATTCGTGGATTTTCTAGCTTGTGCTCGCCTTCTTCAATCATACTATATTTCTATGAGATTTGGGTAAGGATATTTTAGGTTCAAAAATTGAGTTTCTTCTTCTACAGCCATTGTCATGTAGACTTCCTTGTAAGTTTGTAATCAGTCTTCTTGTTTGACTCACTTGTGTTGGGAAATACCCAGCCAGGCAGGGAGAAGAGATCAAGCGGGGATCTAGCCTTGAGTCCTTGTGCAGATGCAAGAGACTTAGGCCTGATCCTTCCTACGTTCCATAGAATATTATATGTTTGTTCCCAAGAGAAGGCAAATCAGCCCAAGCTTTCTAAAAGGTTTTGCTAAACAGCAGAATTCATCCTTCATTCAACAATGGCAGACTCTTCAGCTCCTGAGGCAGCAAAGCACCTCCAAAACTACCACCTACCACTGCCATTATTGACAGCTGGTATGCAATTCCTATTAAGGAGTGCAACGTTTCACTTGTGACATCCATGTAACCACTTTTGGATTATCCGTTGGTAGACTACTCTTCCTGAAGTCTGGAGCATTATCCAGGTTTCATTTGTTTGTTTGTTGGCAGAATAAGACAAGGATCAATATTTTTAGTGAGTCATGGCTTCTAATCTATCACAAATCCCACTTCCACCTGATGTTTTTCTTATGATAAAGCTATAATCATCCGTTTTAGCAATGCTCTGTTTATATACCACTAGGATCCACATGATGTTCTGATAATGTTCAGTTGTAAAAATATGGTAACTGAAAATCCAAAAAGTGGTGGATATTCTTTCACAGAAGAGTACTGCCAAGAATTCTATTTAATATTGTATCATTTCCTGCACTTCCACCCCACAAAATCTGTTTCTAACAAGTGGAAAAAATGCAATGGGTTAGAAGCCAATTGAACAAATTCCAACACAACACTATAATCTAAAAGAATTCCAGGGAGTCATAATATCTCAAATTTCCAGATAGAACAGTTAAAATCCTTGTTCCTTCCATCCCTAATCTACAGCACATTATAAAGGTTCCCTCCCCAATAAGAGCCTTATTGTATGGGGAAAATCATTTGTGATTTTTTTGCACAAATAAATAGCTTTGTAATAAGCAAACACTGCTAATGCTTACTGGGCAATGTTTTAATTTTTCAAGTGGAACTCAGAAGGAAATCTAGAATAAATGATCCTACCCACCTTTTTTATTGTGTGATGAAATACAAAAATATAGCATTCTTGGAGGTTCTCTATTTCATATAAGAGTCCTCAATTTAGAATTCATTTAGTGACCATTCAAAGTTTTATAATGGCACTGAAAAAAGTGACAACCGGCTTTCACACTTACAACCATTGCAACATCCCCATGGTCACATGATCAAAACTCGGATGCTTGGCAACTGGCATGTATTTATGACGGTTGCAGTGTCTTGGGGTCATGTGATCACCTTTTGCGACATTTTGACAAGCAAATCAATGGGGACGTCAGATTTACTTAACAGCCATATTGCTAACTTAATAACTATAATGATTCACCGAACACATGGGGCAAGAAAGGTCGTAACATAGGGCTAAATTCACTTAACAACTGTCTTGCTTAGCAACAGACATTTTCGGCTCAACTGCGCTCATAAATCAGGGACTACCTGTATTTGCCGAATATGTAAACCTCTTGGTATTCCAGCTTGATATCTATATAAGCCACTGTCACTTAGGAATACAAATGGAATATAAATAAATTAATACAGTGCCATTAACTTTTATATACTTAAAAGTAGGAACTTACCTAATGCAGGATATCCTAGATAAAACCGATCTGCTCCCAACCAGCCAAGAAACAAAGACAGAGCTACTGCTACTTTATAGGAGTAGCCATTTCTAGAAATAGAAATAGGAGAGAAAATTGCTGAATCAGTTTTTGAATTAATTTTCTTCACTCCATTAATTATTTAACACTAAAACTTTCAAACTGTCAAACCTGAAGCAAATGGAAACCCAGCTATACTTAACACCAAACAATAATATAAAAAGGAGTGAATGATTTCTCCATTATTAGACCATTAATATTTCATGCGATAAAGAGATATTGCAGGGTTTGAATACAATTTTGGACTTGGCTCTTCTTGTACAAACACATACCTAGTAAAGCCAGTTTTACTTACTATGGCCAATTTTATAGAACAAAGTAAAAACAAACTAGTGTTTTTACTGATTTTTCATACCTCAATATTTTCTCATGCAACAGCAACAAATGCTGTATATATCCTGGTTTGAATTACTTGCAAAATGTATTTCAAATTGCATTGTGCCATTGTTCAGACAGATACATTTAAATTTTTCCAGATATAGACTTAAAAGGCAAAGTTAATAAACTCTCATTTTAAATGAGAAATTTTGCACTTATGATTCCAGCATTACATGGTAATCCAAAAATAAGAGCACAAAAATGCTAGGAACTTTGAATACTCTATAAACCAAATCTTTGATTAGTAGTTCAGTCATCTCCACTATTCATACCATGTCATAGGTGCTAGTTGCAAAGATAGAATTCAAAATTAACCAAAACAAAAGAAGTAAAACCTTGCCAATGAGATTCACTTCCCAAATGATAACAAGACTGTAATTCAACATGTTTTATTTCATGTATTTTCCATATAAAATAGGGGGGAAATCCTTGTTTAATTTCTATCAATTCAGTTCCTGAACAGTTTACATAAAAAGTCTTTACAGATAACAACTAATTAAAACAATTAATTTACTCCAATTTATAAAAAGTAGCTACATAGGTGAACTAACTCTCGATTAAATCTGTACTAAAGCATCTGATCATCTATTTTAATGGGCTACGTATTTGCAACAGACTTTCTGATTTTCAGATTAACATGCTTCAGGACTGAAGAAGTGCATTAACACCAAGTCAAATAAAATTTTATACATACAATTTTATATATCTTTTTCACTTTTAAAAAAAATCCTCACTATATCTTTGAATCTTACATGTATTGTGCAAATGTTTAGTTATGCTGATCATGCACATATATAATTGTAGGAATACATCAAGAGTTAAAATCAAATTACTGATATCTTGAACTAGTCAAGAAAATTGGTAGACAATAAAGTAGGAATAACATCAGTTATCTATAGTTAGCACAAATCTTGTCAGCCTGCTGCAGCAATATATGACTTTACCTTCAAAGATTAAACAAAAACTTATGTTTAAATAAATATCTATAAAGGGTAAAAATAAAGTAAATTTTTGAGCATATTATATATGAAAATAGCTCATCTTGGATGTTCCTACCCCATGAAAAACAGCAGCCATGCCAGTTTACAGCGCACACCTAACCTACCTGTGATTGTAAAAATATACCACCAGTTTGCAATCAGAATTAATTTAACTCAGGGGTGTCAAACTCAAGGCCCGGGGGCCAGATCCAGCCCACAGGTGCTTAGATCTGGTCCGTGGGGCCACCCTGGAAATATCTAAGGACTGGCCCGAGGTGCCTCTGCCAGCAAAAACGGAGCTCGGGAGGGTCGCATGTGGGTCTTCCCAAGCTCCGTTTTCGCTGGCAGAGGATTGCAGGAGGCTGTCACAGGCGCCCCCGATACAAATGACGTCGAGCTGGCCATGCCTCCACTGGTCCCACCCCCAAGGTCAAACACAACCCTGATGCGGACCTCAATGAAATTGAGTTTGACATCCCTGATTTAACTGATTTAACATACCCAGAATTTTGAGCTCCAAACTGCTCTCCTACCCTCCTCTCCAACCAGCAGTTACTTAGTGGATTACATTTCAATCTGTCCATTGACAGGCACAATCCAATCCATTAATAATCTTCACTCTCCTAGGACTTGATCCTTTCTGATCCCAAGTATGATAGCTATATGATCAAGTAAAGCAAGTATTAATTAAGACAGGTCTAGTACCCTGTTTCCCCTAAAATAAGACATCTCCTGATAATAAGCCCAATTGGGCTTTTAAGTGCATGAGCTAAAATAAGCCCTCCCCCCCGAAAATGTTTAAACACATATGCAGCTGGTCCCCGCCATTTCCTCTGGTTAGGATTAGGGAGACAGAGCTGGAAATCAGGTAAGAGAAGTCCCGTCTTGTTTGCTCCATGCACCCCAAAATAATAAAACATCCCCGAAAATAAGGCCAAGCACTTCTTTTGGGGTTCAAAAAAATATAAGATAGGGTCTTATTTCTGGTGAAACATGGTATTTCTACTCCAATCTACCAGAACTGAAAGGAAAGTACTGCAGCACATTTCAAAACAATAAAGTAATTTAGGAACATATACAAAATATGTAATTAAGTTCTATAATTAATACATCAAAGGCTCACTACAAATTTAATTCTTACATATTAAACAGAGCTACCACTTACACACTTCGACACTCAATGGGTTGGTAAAATCCAATTTCCTTTCCAGTAAACTGAGTTTCATTTCCACTGAAATCTTTACAAGTAATATTTGGGACTGGAAGACAGGCAACTAAGGACATAAAAATAACAGCAGCATTATATACAGGACATAAGAAAACATTTCAAATATAGAAAACATAAAGCAAATATCTTCTTAGCAAGAAGACTAACATATAGCAGATGTTAAATTTAATCTTAATTTTAGTATTTTAAAGAGGAATAAATTAACTTAAAAAACTAAACATACAGTAAAAAATTATTTTGCACCTGTAATATTATTTCATGTCTAAAATATATGTGCGGCCAAGAAACATTTACTGCCAATAACCATTATAACAATATGAAGGTTTTTAATATGGTTTTATATTATTTTTCTTGTTTATAAATTGTATTATTTTTGTTGCTTTTATTTTATTAATAACTGTTGGTCAGGCATCCAGAGTCATATATTGCTCCTGGAAGCATGAAGCCGAGAACACCAGCCTGAAGATGACGAATGAGACTTCGTCGAAACGTCGCCAAGACACTTCCAACTTTAAATAAAACAAATTATATGATATCTAAGAGGAGGAAACATATACAGTTCATCCACTGGAAGCATTTGATTAAGGAATATGCAACATTAAACATATTGTGTAACTCTTACCATATGCAGTGTGGTTAGTACACTTCATGGGTTCTTGGGTTGCATTGTCTATTTTAGGATCTTCGCATATATATGTTTGTACAATTAAGGAAAACAAAAATAACCCATGTTTCTGCAGTAGATTAAAACCAGCATCATGATAGATTTGATTTCAATTAACCAAAAACTGTATAGGCTGAATGGCCACATTTCCTTCTTTTACCCAGAAAAATAAGCAATACAGGAATATTTCAATTGGGAAGCTATTTTAATCAACAATATAGCCTTCTCTGGCCTGAAATTTTCCAATACTCTGGGACTAGAACTAGCAGAATTTCCTGTCATAGCAGCTATGGTTGTTCCTAGTACATCTGGAAGGCACCATATTAGGGAAGACTAAACAATAGGTTTAGCAAGGTAATACATAGTGGGTTCACATAAATACACTATAATTATTTCTTTGGCTTTTCAATGTTGTACAAACTTATCTACTGCGCTTTCATGGCTTATGGTTTGGAGTTACATGAATAGCTAACTAATTTTGGCTTATACAATTAATCATGCTTGAACAAACTATACAATAAAGGAACTCGACTTACAGCAGTCCGTTTAGTGACCTTTTAAAGTTACAACGGCACTGAAGAAAGTGACTTATGACCATTTCTCACACATATGACTGTTGCAGCATCCCCATGGTCACTTAATTTATTTTTGGATGCTTAACAAAGCATCCAAAAATGCTTTGGCTCGTATTTACGACGGTTGCAGTGTCCTGGGCTCACGTGATTATCCTTGGCAACTTGGCAACTTTCTGAGAAGCAAAGTCCATGGGGAAGCCCAATTCACTTAACAACTGCGTTACCAATTTAACAACTGCAGTGATTCACTTAACAAATGTAGCAACATAAATTATGGGCTCATAAATCGAGGACTACCTATAGTACCTATTCACTGCAAGGGTCAAGAAAAAGTAAATTAAATTTAGATTTTGTTCTGGCCCCATTGCCCACAGGGATGTAGCTATGTGCAAATACTTAGCTTCCCAAATGTTGCAAAGCCTGGCTTAGTATGTATGAACCCAGTCACAAATTTCTGCCCCAGACCTCTTTCCACTCATAAGGGGTTTAAGTGGGTTACATTCATTCCACCCTAGGCCTGTTGGCAGCTGCTATTACGCCTTTGGTCCATCAATCCTGGGTTGTAGTCAATAACCCAGTATTCCACTTTGGACTATTATCTGCCTTTTAGAACTACGGGAGTGTAATTCAACAGGTGCAGCTTCTTTAAGCACCCGGCTCATTATGCTTCGCGCGACCCTTTTAGACCGGGGGTCTCCAATCTTGGCCTCTTGAAGACTTGTGGACTTCAACTCCCAGAATTCCTCAGCCAGCTTGCTGGCTGAGGAATTCTTGGGAGTTGAAGTCCACAAGTCTTCAAGAGGCCAAGATTGGAGACCCGTTTTAGACTACAAAACGCCGTCCCCGCCCACTTCCTCGCGCCCCCCCCCCCCCCAACCCCCCCCCCCCGGTGACCGGGTTCCCTTGGCATCCTCCCGCCTTCAGGATATTGGCCGATTCGCAGATCTTCGCACTTCAATGGAGCATCGTCGCTCGCCGCAGCCCGAGCCGCGAAATAAGCCAGCCACAAAGTCCCCAACGGCCAGAGAGGTACCATGCCGCCTATCTTTCGCTTGACAGCGGCTTCTCCTCCTGCCAAGGCCGGCCCTGTTGGAAAAGAAACCTCCTTCTCCTCAGACGTTGTCGTTGTAGAAGTCCTTTCGCGGAACGTTTGACGCCATCCCGGAGCGCGCGAAGTAGGGCAGAAGCAGTGCGCTGCGTCCTGTCGGAAATGGGAAATCGCCTTGCCCGTCATAAAGATGGCTGCCTTTTCCATTGTTTTCTTTAGGGACGAAGGCAAAACCCGCCTCCTTCTTTCCGGGCAACGGCTGCATAGAAATGGGAAGCCGGCGCCCTTAGTAAAAATGGCTATCCGCCGGCTTCTTTCCGGCTGCATAAAAATACATAACGGCTAAATAAAAATAGGAAGCGGAGCGCCCTTATTAAAAATGGCTATTCGGGTTCAAAGCAACGGAAGGACATAATACGGGATTGACCTTTTTGGGGGGAGGCGGGGCGGGGCGGGGAAATTTAGCCGGCTGTTTCCTATATTGGACGACGTTTGAGGTTCTCAGTTTCAATTGGTTGATTGAGTCCTGATGGAAGGCAAAAAGAAGCAAAGCGAAGTGGACGCGTTCGCACATAACCCTTCGCGATCTATTGTGATCTGTGCACATCAATTATTGGAGGGGGAAAGTCCGATCCTAATTCTGCAGCTGGGTGGACCTCGAGCTAAAAATTGGAGCTCTGGAGCAACCACCCACGTTTGATTCAATGGATCGGGCTGTTTCCCAACGCTCACCCACACACCCTGCCAATTGCGATGCTGTTGAGCCAGTTTCAGTCAGAATAGAATGGAATGGAATGGAATAGAATAGAATAGAATAGAATAGAATAGAATAGAATAGAATAGAATAGAATAGAATAGAATAGAATAGAATAGAATAGAATAGAATAGAATAGAATAGAATAAGGTGACCAGATTTTAACATTGGTAAAGAGGGACATTGTGGGCGTGGCTTATATTTGTGGGCGTGGCTAGCTGGTCATGTGACTGGGTGGGCGTGGCTAGCTGGTCATGTGACTGGGTGGGCGTGGCTAGCTGGTCATGTGACCGGGTGGCCATGGCTATGTGTATAGGGTAAGGTGAACAGATTTTAACATTGGTAAGGAGGACACCATTGTGGGCGTGACTTATTGTGTGGGCGTGGCTTGGAGGCCATGTGACTGGGTGGGCGTGGCTAGCTGGTCATGTGACTGGGTGGCCATGGCTATGTGTATAGGGACTACTCAGAGGGCTGAAAAGTCATTTCTGACAGGTCCTCACACTTTTGACTGGTCCTCACACTTATGACCATCCTCACATTTATGCCCGTGCAGTATTCTTAACAACCATGTCACTCATTTCACAACTGCTTCTCTTCACCATGGTGACAAGATAGGGCAAAAATGTAAAATGTGAGGACAGTCGTAAGTTCGAGGACTGGTCAAAAGTGTGAGGACCAGTCAAAAATAACTTTTTCAGCCCTCTGAGTAGTCCATATGCACAAAAGGACTAACCAGAGGGCTGAAAAAAGTCATTTCTGACAGGTCCTCGCACTTTTGACTGGTCCTCACACTTATGACCATCCTCACATTTATGCCCATGCAGCATCCTTAACAACCATGTCACTCATTTCACAACTGCTTCTCTTCACCATGGTGATAAGAAAGGGCAAAAAAAGTAAAATGTGAAGACAGTCGTAAGTTTGAGGACTGGTCAAAAGTGTGAGGACCAGTCAAAAATAACTTTTTCAGCCCTCTGAGTAGTCCATATGCATAAAAGGATACAGCAATAGAGAGGGATGAAGGAAGGGAAGGGAAATTAGAGTAGGAGTGAAGGTAAGAGGGGGAGGAAGAGAGGAGAAGGAGAAAGGAAGAGGAAGTAGGGAGAAGAAGAAGAAGGGGAGGAAGAGAAAGTAAGAAGGAAAGAAAAGAGAGAGGTGGTAGGTTTGAGGAGAAAGATTGCTGTACAATAAAAAAGATGAAAGGGAAGAAAGCCAACCCCAAACAAATATAAAGATATTAAGATAAAGAATGAATTGTTAAACTTTAAAGAATAAAAAAGAACAAATATGAATAAATAACAATAATTAGAAATACACATACAAACATACAATGTATTTTCTTTGAACAGAGTATTTGGCCGGTTCACAAATTTAAACAGTGTTTAGTCACTTCAATTAAATTTACAATTTCTATATTTCCTTTTTGCCATATTTATTCCTCATCTATTTTTTTAAAAAAACCAATATTACCCTTCATCCTCATCTCTAATCTTAATCAAATTCAATTTTTCCCTTCTATTCTATATTATACCCCTTCCCATTGTCATCTATTTTTATATCCATCCTCACATTGTTTAATTATGTAATTATGTAATACAGTTGTTTAATACAAATTCAACATTTTAATATAAATCAATTAGTTATAAAACTATCTTTTTTGTATATTAATCAATATGAACATGAATATTCCAATTATTTCCATGCAATCCAATTTCTTACAAATCAATTAATTATATTTACCAATAATAATAAACCAAATAATTTCCCCCATATATTCCTCTGAACCACAACTTAACCATTTCTGCTTTCAACACAATATACAATTAATAGTATCTCAATTATTACAATTTCCTAGTTAAATACAGCTTTTTTTTCTTTTGTGTTTTAAAATCTTGAACTCTCCTCCTAAATTTCCCATTGTTTGCAGTTTTTCACCTACCTTTTTTGGGGAGGAAAAATAAAAATAAAAATAAATCTCTCTCTGCCTCATTTTGTCACGTTGCACCAAAGATCCTGGTTTCGGTTTCGTTTCTGCAGCTTAGCTAGGGGGAAAAAAAACTGCTTCAGGAACTCTTTACACTGATTGCCTGTAGGGCGGCCCTTTGAAGCCCCGGGCAAGAGTTTAAACAGTTTTTTTTTCTTCTAGCCATCAGCTGGGGCTTAAGAGGCAGCGGGACTCAGGAGGCAGAATGAAAAATCGGGACTTTTTTGAAACACCGCGGGACGCGGGACAAATTGCTAAAAATCGGGACTGTCCCGCCAAAAGCGGGACGTCTGGTCACCTTAGAATAGAATAGAAAATAGAATAGAACAGAACAGAACAGAACAGAACAGAACAGAACAGAACAACAGAATAGAATAGAATAGAATTCTTTATTGGCCCAGTGTGATTGAACACAGAAGGAATTTGTCTTAGTGCCTATGCTCTCATATGTACATAAAAGAAAAGATACGTTCATCAAGAATCATAAGGTACAACACTTAATGATAGTCATACGGTACAAATAAGCAACCAGGAAACAATATCTATAAATCGTAAGCAGGGGTGGGTTCTAATATTTTTTACTACTGGTTCTG